AAAACACGGTGCGCATCACCCACCCTGTATTAACAATAGATAATTCTTGGATTTATCTTGGTTGGTACCGCAGACTTATTCCTGCATCACCGAGTTCCGTGGAGCTCTGCGCTGTTTTGGCACAGGAGATTAACGTCACACACTTCATATCACATACCAAAAAACAACAAAAATGTCACGCATCATATTCACAGTGTAAAAACGTGAAAACTCTCGACTCAAATCAGGACACGGACACACGTGCAACGTAACGTTTGGCCAAAGACAAAACAAGTCGTAAAAAAATCGGTGGACATAATTAACTGATAACGTCGTGACAGACGCGGTCACGTTCTCCCGGTTCACTACCGAGATACTGTGGTATAAAGGGTGAAGCCAGCGGTTCAGAAGTCAACAGAAGGTGTCCCTCTCTGTAGAACAATGAACCGCTCCGTGATCGTCCTTTGCGTGCTGGTTGCGATGGTGGTGAGTACATGTTATGTAGCATAGCACTGCAAAGGAAACAGTAACAGTGTACTTATTACACACAAAGAAGAGTGCACTACTGCAAAGCAAAGCACACACATATACGTGTGTACTTGCCAGAAGTAGACACAATTAATTGCGTGCTTTGCCAAACGTGATATCCTGAGGAGGCCCACCCTAAGTTTGAAATATATCGTGATAGTAGTGCTGGAGGATACTTCTACAAATTAGAAGTGTTGTTGACATCAAAATGCTGAGACTCGCATTTAAAAAATTACCGTGCGACAGCCATGTCACGAAAGAAACAGCGTTAAAAAAGTCATGCCACACACCTTTTCAGATATTCAGATACTAGCTTGGGACGAATGAATGCCTACCTTTTCAAGTGTACAAATCTCTTTTCGCTCACCTTTAAGAGTGTGAATCTCTTCACACACCTGCACGTGAGCAACATTCGTCCACTTTTAGTTGAAAACACTTTAAATGTGCGCAGGCCGCGCTGACGTTGGCCGCCCCCGCCGGCAAGACGCCCAAGGTGGAGTGGACCAAGGCGCCGGGCAGCCCGACGGCGCGCCGCACCATCACGGACTCTGCGGGCCAGCAGATCCACCACAGCACCGACACGAACACCGGCCACCGCACCACCGGCTTCCTGGCCAAGGGCGACAACGCGCGCGCCTCCTCGCCCACGCAGCGCATCGGGCAGCCCAGCACCGGCGGCAAGCCCTCCACCAGCAAGAAGGGCAAGGGCAAGTAGGACCCCCTGCTCAACCACTGAAATGGTGCATTTCCTCGTCCTTTTTTGTATTTTTAAAAAATGCAATCGTGCTGCTTGAAATTTGTCAAAAGCCCACCCAGAATACATATAGCGCCCAATAAAAGTTCAGTATTTTGCATTCCAATTTTCGTTCTGTCATTATTTCCATCTATATCACCGCTCCTTTCGGAAACACACTAGGAACGCAAGTGTGTGTATGTCGCACACTTGAAGGTGTGTGAATGACCATTCGTGCACGTAAGGGAGTGAAGGTGTGAATTTTGCTTCAAAATTCACACACTTGATTGTGCTTTAGTGTACGAATGTCGTTCACACACCTACAAGTGTGTGACATTCACACAGTTTGGCTGCCGTTGCAGCTGAGCCTCGCACAGGCTGGGCTCTTCGAACTTGAAAATCAGCAACGGCCAGCATTATCCAGTTCAAGTGTGTGACGCCCCGGCGGCGTCCTTTTGCAAGGGCGCAGACGGATAGGCAAAGGCAGCGTGGCAGCGGCGGGGGGCACGACCCCAAGGCTTACCGCTCCGCGAGATCTCATTTCCTCTTCGGCTGCTTTGGGCCCACCAAAGGGTTTTCGGCCAAGGGTTGCTCAGGGACAAGCGGAGAGGTAGGGGGGGGGGGGGGGGACAAGCGATGAAAATGAGGTCGGAACGAGCCCCAGCGAGAGGACCTCGGGACCCGGCCGCCGCTGGCCGGACCCCCAACCCGGGCCCCGCGGGGCCGATACCTCAACCCTTTTTGCTTACTACTCGGATAAACCTTGGCGCCCCTTCCCCAATTTAAATTCCAGCCGCTTGCCCGCCCGCGCATTACTTCCAGCGCCCTGGCCGCCACCTCCGGCTGGAAAGGTGAGGAGG